CTTACGAGAGCGGAGTAGAGGGGGAGAAAATTTTTTTTTTGGCTATTTTTTAGCCGAAATCGAGCTGGGTTTCTTTTTCAGTAGCTAGAATTGTGCTGTGTTTTGCTTCCAGCCTGGGACTGGCTGTGAGAGACACTGAGAACAGACCAGTGTTTGCAGTTTTGTCACTGGCAGTGAAGGACTTTGTGTTCTGTTTGTCCACAAGCACAAGATTTATGGGGGGTGAAGAATATTTAAATGAATAAACTGAACTGACAGTTGGATATGCCAATGGAATGTTCCAGATCATATCCCATCATGTCCAGTGCATCAGTGAGGGGCTCTTCCTCTCTTGCTTTCTCTGGCTTTGGCTCGGGCTCTGGCTCTCCCGGGATTGCGGGTTCGGGTCGTGGTCTGGGAACGGGCCGGGCTCGGTCAGGAGGGGGATGAGCTACAACATTGGGTGTCACTCACTTGCATATTTTGTACTATCACAATGTTGAAATGGTTTATTTTAAGGAAAAGAGGAGATCTGAATTGACTGGAAGGGTTTGGTTTTGCTGTTAAAAGCTTTACAGTGGCTTCTCGATGCGCTGTCTCACAGAGCCGGCGCTCTCCGACCCCGCTGCGTGGTTCTGCTGAGCACAAGCACTCGGGTCTGGTGACCTGTGCAGGGAAGAGAACAGCCCAACGCTGCTCTTGTCCTGGAGAGTCAAAGCTGGGAAGGGAACCTCGTGCTTATGGAGCAGCAGGGAATGGCCAAGTGTCTTTTGGATCCTGCTGGTCCCTGCGCTGCACTGAGGCTGTTGAATCCACCTGGCCTGACGTACCCTTATCCCAGCACAGACTCTGAAAGGACACGACGTGTGTGTTGTCCCGAGGAGGTTTTAGGGGCTGCTGTCCCTTTTCAGGAGGGATGTTTAATTAGCTGACATGGTGTAACTGCTTTGTAGGAGGTCAGGGCAGCATGGAAGGTGGAAAGGAAATAACAAAGGCGTATTTGGGGTGCCTCGTTGGTTTTGGGAGATGTGAACACCCGTGGGGAGAAGAATATTATGTGTTGGTTCTGCACTTTTGTCAAGGTGAAGCTGCACCGTGGTGTTTCGTTTCGAGGCACTCTGGTTTTCGTGGTGTCTGGCCGTGGGCAGTATGTGCAGGGTGCTGTGGAACATCCTGCCCTGCTTTTCTCCCCAGAAGTATCTAGATTGTAAGTTCCTGTTTCTATATTTGAGGACATTTCCTGTAACGACTTCCTGTTTAAATGCTATCATTTGTTTTCGCCTGTCTTGTCGTCGGTCAAGAGGCGACAGTTGAAACGTGGGGGGTTTTTCCCCGGCTTTTGAAGGATTTTGCAGAGTATCTCGTCGAGAGCGGGTTGTGCTGTCGCGCAGCGTGACAGGCGACGGCTGCCCCGGCTCAGAGGAGCCCCGGGGCTGATAAGCACACGTGTCGATTTGAGACAACGGCTTCCAAAAGCCTTTGGCTGATGTGAGGCCCCGGGGACGGTCTCTCAGGGAAGTCACCCATCTCGTGTGTCAGTGTGAGCGCAGAGGCAGTGCCGGATCTGGAAACCATTGGGGAATTAACTGGGATGGTGGGTGACAGCCCTGGTGCTTCCTAGTACCGACCCCTGAGGGACCCCACTAGATACAGGTCTCCAACCAGACTCTGCCCCATTAAGCACCACTCTCTGGCTTCTTCCCACCAGCCAGTTAACTGTCCATCTTACTACCTGATCATCTAATCCACACTTCCTCAATTTATCAGCAAGGATGCTGTGCGAGACCGTGTCAAATGCTTTGCTGAAATCAAGATAGACCACATCCACTGCTTTGCCATCATCTAGCCACTTGGTTATGTCTTCATAAAAGTCTACAAGGTTGGTCAAGCATGACTTCCCCTTGGTGAAGCCATGCTGACTGTCCCTAATGACTCCCTTATCCTTGATAGGTTCCTGCTCCGGCAGGGGGATTGGACTAGATGATCCTTTGAGGTCCCTTCCAATCCCCAACATTCTGTGATTCTGTGATTCCTCCTTGGCCAGTTTTTGTCTCGTTCTAAGGAAATGTTGCTGTCAGAGGGAGGTTGTCACAAAGTAGAAGTTCACTTTCGAGGGTCACACCCTGCGGGCGGTCGGGATGGAGCTGTTAACTCCCACTCTGTTGTGTTGTGCTTGAGAAACTCGGAAAGGCCAAGCGCTGCTCTCGTCCTTTCTGAGGAGAGTGAGTGTTGCAGCGTCACTCAACGTACACTCATCAGATGGGGAAGAAGCCACAGGGCCTGAAAATTCCCTTTTTTTTTTCCTCGTAGAGCAATGAATTTCTTTTCCTCCCCTCTTCCCGCAGGTACGAGTACCACTGGGCGGACGGCACCAACATCAAGAAGCCGATCAAGTGCTCGGCTCCCAAGTACATCGATTACTTGATGACGTGGG